ATGAAAATGAAGATGAAGATGAAAGATTAAATTAAAAAATTAAAAAAAAATATATTTTTTATATCGGAAAATATGCAAATGCGTATGTATGTATATCGCACATTTCTTTCTTTTTGGAATTTTCTATATTAAGTTTCACTTCTTCCGCGCGTAGGGACGACACCCACTGAGATGTTTTTCCAGAAATTGACATACCTCTGAATATTCCAGTACATCTGCTTGTACCCAAACCTTCCTTTAGGTACCCGGTACTGAACCAAAAATTTCGGTACTGTACCGGTGATTTATGTTCAGGTGGTCACCTTATAGATACATAATTTAAATACCAACAAAGTAACAGTGGGTTAATTTACTTACGCATTAAAATCTGTAGCAGTAAATTATAAAAAAGATTTCGCAGGCCAACGACATTTGCTCCTTGCTGTCAACTTTAAAATTTAAAATAAATACGCACGCACTGATACAAAACATTAAATGTAGCTAACTGGGCTACCACTAAGCAAAACAAAGCGAACGGAATAAACCGAGATACGCCAATTTCGCGAACTGACTGGCACGTGCTGGTACCTTTATCCTCTGCCACCACAGCGGCTGCAGTGTTTCTCATAGATAAACAAATATTGTATTTTTTGTTAATTTTTCATGTGAATTATTTTTCAATAAGAATTTGTTAAACGGCTCCTGAATTTTGAAAAGTAAAAATGTCAGTTTGAGTACATTCTCTTATCGGATCTCTCTTTGTTTTTTGAATATATCGACACTCTGATATTGGGGAATGTCATGGTGGAATAATAACAAGGTGTTGTCAGTAGCAACGTGTTTGTTGTGATTTTGACAAGATCGGCATGCTTATTTTCAGTGCTGCCGATCTAAATTTTTATACTACTATTCGTTGGGAAATAGTATCTAAAATACTCCATTTTAGTAATTCGTTTTATCGCGATTTTTAAAGAACTTGGTGTTTTCAGAACAATATTAATATTTAAAATTGCTGGATTTGTATAATTTTTGTCCTCAAAAGGTAGAAAAATAAAAGATATCGTGGTTATCAATGGAAAAAAACGTACACAAAAATCGTATGGAAAGGCGCTCTTTTATATTAAATAACTTTTGCTGCATTGTCATAATATTGAGCCAAATGAACTACTGATACACTAGAATAGAGTGGCTGCATGGTTAAATTAGGAATTCGCTTATATTATCGATATTTATGTGTTTTAATCTATTTAGAAAATCATTTACAGTCTTATAGGAAATTGCCTTATTTTACGGCTTTTATTTTTTTAAAGTTACAATATATGTCCAAGCTGTGTGGAGCTGCCGATACAAACATATATTCAGGCTTATAAGCCTGCAATTATACATTTTTCTACATTTAATTTGAAATAGTATGCACCAACGGATTAAAGGTAGTAAATAATTAGTACCTTTTCTAGTACTTTAAAATGCGTGACCGGAATAGACCTGCCGAAAAAGTGAGGTTAAGTTACTGACAACACCTTGTTATTATTACACCATGGGGGAATGTACTTTGAATTTACTAGCAATATAGAAGTACTACATATATGTATTCATCACTTCAGCACTGTATAGTACCACTTATTTTAAGTTTTTTGTTTGTATTTGTTTTGTTAGGTTCTTACTTATAAAGAAAGTTCAGGTCCCACTACATTGCAAAAATGCATTACAAAAATCTGTAAACGGGCTTTCGCTTACCCAATCGATTACAAGTAATGCAAAGCTTTCAAAATTGATGAGATAGTGATTACCGCCAATGGCATGCCTGTTTGAAGATAACGTAATCTTAACAGTTAGAGATGAGCGCGAATTCCTCGATGATTTTATCCATTAGATGTAAGACAAGTTTTTGCCGGATACTATCACTACCCCCCGGGGAAAGCTACGAGTTGTGAACTAGTATTAGAACAGTTTTCCTTTTTCAATGTTAACGACTGGAATTTTCCATGGCGATATTCTACGAAGTGTCAATTACTAGGCTATGCATCAGCATCTACTAGTAGAAATACTGTAGCATCATACCAGTTGATGGGATGGTCTACCAATGCATCCCCCGTGAAAGGCATAAGTATGCCATTTTGCTCGCGACGCTATAACAGTCGCAATGACCGACATAGCAAAGTCGCATTTGTAAATTCACAACAATAAAATTCAAAAGGTTGCCATGGTAGCAAGCATAGAATTTGCAAACGCAATTCCAAATGCAAATCCAAGACCATTTCCACAATATCCTGAATGGCCCTAATGTTTTCCCCATGCCATAGCTTTGTACTGTCTTTATTCTCTCACCTAAGCGCGCTCTTCTATTGTATAAATATTACTCACTAAGAACACTTGTATGCCTCTTTTCTCTGTATATAGCTACATATACGAATGCATGTATGTACATATATGCTTACATTTAATTTCTCTTCTCAGCAATCTTCCTACAACGCTTACCTAATGGCTGGCTTGGGCATGGGTGGAGGAACACTTGGTATGGCTGCTGCTGTTGGAGCCTCACATTTGACAAGTGCTGCAGCAGCAACTGGTGGCATCGGTGCGGGCGCAAATACAACTCCTACTACAGCTACGAACACTTTAAGTGGATTTGCAGTGGGTGGTGCAGCGCTGCTTGGCTTAGGAACGCCTGCGCTGCTAACCAAGTATCACCACCAACACCAACACCAACATCATCGACACTCATTGACTACGCGACATCGAGTGTTACGCACCCGAAGCTCGGGAGCGACACACAATGTTTGGGATGAACAATTGATGGAGGTGGGTTGGTTAGAATTAAATGGTAAAGACAAAGGTATAGGAATGAACGTTTCAGGGCAGTGTACATAGTATGTATTCAAGTAACAGGATTAAATTCGTATCGAAGGAAAAAGTGTTACGACGGCCAACACTACTGAAAATGGATTTCAGTTATATACGAAGGGTCAAGAGAAGGTAGAAGAAAAGTTAATTTGTGGTGACAAGTGCTAACGTACATTTCTAATTAGTATGTGTCCGTAGAAAAATGTCGGCGCATACTTTTAGGCTATAGGTACGGTGACCATTTTTCCGGCATTATACGGGACAGTCCTCTTTTTTCGTCAATTGTCCTGGTAATTTATTTATTTCATACAGAACGCCAAAAGTTCCGTGTTTCTTCTAATGTCCCGTACTTGTCCCGTATTCGGTATTTTGGCGTCCTAGTAGCTCATAAAAATGACATGCCTATGAACTAGTAGTTTTTATACAAGTTCGCAAGGGTATTATAAATTTGTTCACATAACGGTTGTTTGTAACAGGAAAAACGAATTGTGATAGATAAAAATGTGTACATAAATGATCAGAATGAAAAAAGAAACCGATTAAGCGGTGACAGTCTGTCCGTCTAACTGGAGTAAAACTTTAGATATCATAACGAAACTCGGTATGTGTACTTCTTTTCAGCGTAGGACGGACGGTATTGAAAATGGGCAAAATCGGACAATAACCACGCCTAGCTCCCATATAACGGTAGTTTTCATAAATACGAAAACTGCGATATTTTAGTAACTGCTTAAGCCTATTCACTCAAATTGATACTTACAATAATTTTTAAACGGAAAATAAGAATATTATAAATTTTTGAAAAATGGGCGTAGCCACGCCCACTTATGACTACATGTGTATATCTCGGTAACCACTCCACCAGTTTCTCGCAGACTTGGCACGCTAGTTCGCCTTACTACAACATATCAAATGGCTGCAAATTTTTAAAATCGGACAATAACCACGCCCACATCCCATATAACGGTAATTTGGAGAAATACGAAATCTTCGATAAATCAGCAAATACCGAAGCTAATTTATTCAAAATTGATATTTGCAATAATTCCTTAGCGCAAAATACGTTTATAATAAAATTTTGGAAAATGGGCGTGGCACCGCCCACTTATGACCACATATGGGATGATTATTGCCATACAAAAGCAAAACGCTGAAAATTATTGAAATCGGACCAAAATTATGCCTAATTTTTATATAACGGTAAATTTCAGAAATGCTTGAAACTTCGATATTTCGAAATTTGAGGACGCTAATTTACACAAAATTGATACTAACAACATTCCCTTGAAAAGAAATAATATTATTATGGAATTTTGGAAAATGGGCGTGATACCGCCCACATATAACTATACAAGTTTATCGAAGATGTTTGAAATAGGGATAAAACCACCCTTACCATGTAGCGGTGGTTTTCGGAAAGGTGAAAAAAAACTATACTTAACATATGTATGTAGACGATTTCTGAAGTTATAATTTTGCGTAGAAAATTTGTGAGTAGATATGAATCGAAATTAGACGTTAATGATCATTGTTCAATTTTCTAAAAAAAAAAAATGCCCTTGTATTAGCTTTTCAAATGTTTTTTCAACGCATTTCACGTGGAATATTCTGTACGGAGCAAAGCATATTGAACAGGTAGCAGCAGTAGAGTAGCTGATCTTACGTTTTTTCTTTTGTTTTGAAAAATTATAAAAATTAAATTGAGCGAAAACAAAAAGCAAAGCCAAACAAAAGTAAAAGAATCAACATTGAACTGCGTCAAAATGAAAATAAGGGAGCACGAATTTCGATGTGAAGCAAAACTCTCTGGGAAGACAATACCTGTAATTATTGTAGCCTGGGGCAGTGTAGGTAGATCTGCCACTTTGTTGAGCATCTACCACATCTACCACTCAAGGTCTGAAATCTACCACATATTCGCGTTTTTGAGTAGTTTTATTTTTGCTCGACATAATTTTCCTAATTTTAAGAGCAAAAATTGTCCAACACTAAACACTGTATGGAAACCAGAATGATATAATACAAGATTCCGCATTCCCGGCGACAATGAAATTTCTTAAGTAAAAGTAAGCAAAGCCGAATGGGAGGATAAAATAAACTGTAAAATAGTAAATTTTCTCAGTAATCAATTTTTCGACAGGAAACGCGGTTTTATTGAGTTAAATTGCAAAATATATGATTTATAAAAATAATTAATAGTGAAAATGTTAAAAAACGGTGATTTTTGTGAAAGTATTAGCAAATTTAAGTGCATCTAAGGTTTCTGAGCCGTTGTTTACTTTGACTTGAGAATTGTCAATATCGGCAAATCCCAATTAGCGTTTCTGGAACGTGCCACATTTGTTCGCAATTTCGTGATGTGATAAAAAGAAAAGCTGGCAGCACTCCGCAAGGTTGTAGAAATCTCTCAAAATATATTCGAAAAATATCTTGATATAGAAGGAACTGCTTTACACTATCAAGGAAAAAAATTGCCAAAACTCAACGCAATTTTTAGCAACTTCAATCTTGCCCTTTATTATACTAAAATTAATTTTTTTAAAGTCTAATTAAAAAGTTTGCCATTTAGTTGAAATCTACCACATTTGTTTCCAGATTCTAGGACACAGAATTTTTTTAAGGTCCAATCACTGCCATGGGGTACTATTACCTGTCCGTGCCGTGGTGTGGATGTAATTTTAAATAAATACGCCAAAAAAATTATTGCTGATTGTATGAGGGATTTTTCAACATGAGAAACTCCAAATAAAAAGGCTACCTTGAGAATGTTGTAAATATGGTCACCGTAGATATAGGCCAAGTTGTGAATATTCCTATACATTCAAGCATATCCATGAGAATAGCTATTAGCTACCTCTTTGCCATAGAAACTCTTCAGAAATGCTATCACGATGAGACCCATTGTTCTCAATTCCCATTATTGTTGGTGTTACATACTTTTGTTGCCGCAACAGCTTCATCTTAACTTTGAACAATGAAAACGAGACAGTGTAATAACTAGACCTTCGGCGATAATTGAATGAAAATGCGAACATTACTCAATTAATAAGATTATAGTTTTTACCTTGAAATAAAATTACCACCCAAGGAAGTAGATGCCTGCTTGGGGAAGGGAAAACCTCAGATGCTATTTAGCTGTGAGGTTGAAAGGCCGCAAAAGAATATACAAATTTATATATCCTACTAATCTTACTTCTTACTTAATATTATAAATGTTATATTATAAAATGAAAGTTTGTATGTTTGGATGTTTGGGAAATCATCACGCGGAAACGACTGAACGGATTTCCATGAAATTTTGTACGCAGATAGCTTATGGGTCAGATTGGGTAATAGGCTATTTTTTTTAAGAGTTGCCACCTGGAAAAAAAAGTTAAATTTATTTCATATGCGGGAACGACTGAGCGGATTTGCATGAAAATTTGCACACAGATAGCTTATGACCTAGGTTGGAAAATAGGCTACTTTTTTTTAAGAGCTGCCACCTGTTAAAAATGTTTAATAAAATCAATACGCGCAAATGAGTGAACTGATTTGAATGCAGGTTTTCACACAGATAGCTTATGAGATAGGTTGGAAAATGGAATACTCTTTTTCAGAGTTCCCATCTGCTAAAAAAGTTTAATTATATTAATACGCGGAAACGTCTGAACGGATTTGCATGAAATTTTGCAAGCAGATAACTTATGACCTACAGTGAAAAATAGGCTAATTTTTTGGAAGAGTTTCCGCCTGTTAAAAAAGCTGAATTAAATTAATACGCGGAAACGACTGAACATATTTGCATGAAATTTGGCACAGAGATAGCTTATGACCTACTTTGGAAAATAGGTTACTATTTTAGGAGTTTCCACCTATTAGAAAAGTTTAATTGAAGGCCGCCTACGCAAAAATACTGTGGCGCCTGATCTAGTTTAACCTAGGCACAACTAGTTTGTCCTAAGATCGGGATTGGCCGGCAACATATACATACCAATTTTTATACTTTTTCTTCCTAGACAAAACTACTGCATAGCAATCAGTAAAATCGGATTAGGATTACTTGTTTTTTGTCGCACCTTGTACACGAATTTTCCAGTGTGAATCGTTAATTCTATGAGAGATTAGCAATAGCGACGCAACTGAAATTTGTTTTGTTATTTGTTTAAAGTGTATTGAGCATTTTTATACCAATCACCTTGCGCCGCAACCAGTTACTCGCAGACATATCAAAAGTTAGAATATTTGCCACTGGGGGCCATTATTCAAAGTTCCGACTAGTGCATGGGTGACTAGTGATGTGGGTGACTCAAATTCTTGAGTCATCACCTTATAGTGAAAACCGGGGTGAAAAAACGAAAAGAGAGAACCAGCAATGCAAGATTCCATGTTTAATTCTCCTATCTTGTATCACCCACTTTCCTTTCAGTTTGCTAATTTATAAGCATGTATATAGCCGTCGAGTGGGAAAAAGTACGTTTCATTGGAGAAAATTTGGTTAAGGTGGAACCATTTGCTGTATCTAGCGAAATCAATCTTCCGTCTGCCAGAATTTATACGATTGAAGCAGGGCCCTTAACTCAGTCTTCTTTAAAGACAACATTAAGGTTACATTTTTGGCGATTGCATTCAAGTATTTAAGTAACAGTTTGAACTTCATTTACTTAAATCTTCTCTACATCTCATTCCAGCACCTCGCGGCCTACTCGCCGATTTCGACGCGCTCTCACCGAATCAATCCGGTGTCATCATATCAGGTGCAAGCTGCATTGGCTGCCTCCCGTCGACGTGAATCCATCAACAGTTCGATTGGTGCTGCATCAATAAGACGCCTCATTACGTTAAATAACCGTAACTGCCGACATAAGATTCCACCACACGTACGGCACAAAGTGTGCCAGAGTTTCATCAGCCTAACGCTGGCGCATGGACTAATATGTGCAGTCTTGCTGCCGCTCTTTGCGCTACAAGGTTCAAATTCTGTGTGGCATCAACGCGAGCAGTGGCTGCATGTGGGACCAAATATCGGCTCGCTGCTGCTAAGCGGTTGCTTTTTTATTTCCGCCGTTATGTGCCTCTTTACCAAACGCCTTATACAGAAATTCGGTTATACATCAGTAATTAGCACCAGCTATGTTGCGACGGGAATATTTCTCTTATGCCACCTGTTTCCCTCCATCTTTACGCTGCTGCCAGCATACATGCTGCTTGGCGTCACTTATAGTCCTTCGTGGGTAAGCAAAATTGCACTAGTTGTGCACTATGGCAGCAAGCTGAGTTGTTCGCAGCACGAATGCATGCACAGTTCATCGCATGTTTCGGACGTAATGGATGAGCACAAACTATTCTGCAACCGCGATCAGAAGGTTCGCCGTTTAGCGCGTTGGTTCCAGGTGGCTCAGGATGCGGGAATTATATTGGGCGCTTTACTGGCGTCATTCACTCTCGCTTGTAGTTCCAGCGATTGGAATTGTTTCGATAGTGGTGAGACGGTGACATTAGAAACACAAGCCACTTCATTACCCGGACAGAACCTAACTGAGCCACTTCCAAAGGCCATGGCATTGCGATCGCATTCTTACACAATGACTGGTTTTTTGCCTAATATACCGGGTTACTTCGACGACTTTTATTATCATAACGAACACGGCGAGAGGATTTGTGGTGCCGACATGTGTCCCGTTTGGTATCATGACAATAGCTTCGACGACACTGGCAACGGAACCAATGAAACCATCTATACGCAGTTCATCAATGAAAGATCAACTGGTGGCGGGATTACACTCATAAGTGTGTACTTCCTGTTCATAATAGTTGCGGTAGGATTATCTTTCTTTGGTGGAAAAATACAGGCCACTTTTCGGCGTGATGTGCACTTAAAAGGCGTGACAGATACGTTACTCTTCGCTGGACCGATGGCGTATTTTGTGGGCACCGAGCAGGCTTATATGCTGGGCGACTTTTTGCGGGTATGTACGCACGAACGCTTGGCTTTCGACATCCAAAGGTTGATAATTGCAAACATCAATTTGATTTCGAATTTTCAGGCTTTCGTATCATGTTCACTGGGCATTAGCATGGTTGCAGGCGCATTGGTCGGCATGGGCATCATGCAATGCATAGTATCCTGCACGCTAAGTATGCTGCTGCGGCACACCAAGCGTATTGTGGTCATTTGTAAGTTAATGCTTCCTACATAAATATGAACCTTTTACGTTTCAAATAAATCATAATGAACTCCTTTTCCCCAACTTTTATCGTGTCTTCTTTCAGTGGCCGGCTTCTTCTTTCAATCATGCCTGCTGCTTGCATTATCCAGCTGGAAGCCCTCTAGCGATGATATGGCGCTCTTTTACGTACTGGCCGCCTCGTGGGGTGCCTGTAACGGTATGTGGGAGACGCTCTTGATGGCCTTAATCACATTGAATCATGCCAATCATGTTACGGAGGTAACTAGTCCTTTACAGGGAATGCGTTTCCTCGGATTGGGCATGACTTTCGCGGCGCATGGCTTAATGTGTGAGACGCCCAAGATTATCACCATGGTTATTATGCTGGTGGTGAGTTTGCCGGCGTATGCAATGCTGGAAACTAGACTGGAAGCGCAGCGTAAATTGCAATTGATCAATTTATGACGAAGCGTTTTCAGTTAGTCAAAAATGCGTGGCACCATGGCCAGAACTCATACGATGTAAAAGGGTCATAAGCGGAATTGTGGAAGGTGCAAGACAGCCGCGCGTCAGTGAGACTGTAGTGAGAGTAAAACAATATTAAGTTTAAATTGAGCTAGCGAAAGTTTTTTTTTACATACCCAAATACATTAATAGATATGTACCATATGTATTAGGGTGATTGACTCGGTTTTTCCGAAACGGTTTTAGCCGGTTTTTTCCAAAATTTTTGGGCGATTTTTTTGAAATCGTAATTTTTTTAATATCGTATAAACCGGAGTTATGTTATCGAATAAGCCGGGTTATCTAGAGTATTTATACAATTGCATCTTAAAGTTCACGCAAATTCATATCGAGGGTTTATATTCAATACCCTCTATCTGCACTTTTCATAAAAATGAGATTCTGAAATCCACCTAAGACTTAACCGTCAAAGCTGATATTAATGCTGACCTTGTATAACGCTTTACAGAAGAATTTACTATTATTGCAAAGTTAGAATTAACATCAGTGATTACAGGTACGTCCCAGATGAGTTCTACCATCACAAAGTAGTTTTTGTTAAAACTGCAGATAGAGGGTATTGAATATAAGCCCTCGATATTATTTTTTATTTTGTTGAAACCACAAACAGAACTTTTTACCAATCTTGCTCTTAAATACGATCCAGTTCTTGTCGAAGATTCTTTTTTGTTAGAGGTATGTATTTGAAGAATTGTTAAATAAATTAAAAAAATTTGGAAGGAATAAGTATGTCATTTTGCTTGCGATAGTCCAACAGTTGCCGACAGAGTAAAGCTCTGGTGTGTGATTCTAGAAATCGAATCCTCGGGCATGGGGATTTTTTAATGCGTTTTATTCATGTATTTTTTATTTATGTTGTTTTATGGTAATTTTTAAATTGGATTGTTTTAAATGAAAAGAAATGCATTTCATTTAATTCTTGTGGTGTGTGAGTATTTAGGTTATTTTCCAAATGAAATTAATTTCGCAATTTATATTACGTTGAAATAATTGACTTGCTTTACTTAAACCACCTCCAAGCGGCCTCGAAACTGCGAAGTCACTTTGTAATTTATATTTAGTATTTAAATTGAATTGCTTTACTCTACCACCCCCAGGCGGACTCGAACCTGCGATCTCAGAACCAAAAGCGGTAGCTCTCACGGTACAAGCGATTCATTTCGTTCCGCGGAGATATGATACTTGGGTTGTTCACGCTTGCCTGGCTATCAGGTTATCTGGTTAAAAATTATAATTGTGTAGTGTATGTTATTATTGTAAACTGAATAAAAAATATAACCACATAACCAGATAACCTGATAACCAGCCACGTGTGAACAACCCAATTGACTTTCTGTCCAGATTTCTAGCAAGAAAGAGCTGCGACTTTCAAAATAACAATATGATTAAAAAAACTCCTATACTTTTTACTTATTGAATTATAAATTCGTTATATTTTATAAAAATGTACAGGAGGATCTTTCCATTATGAGTAACCTTCATAAAAGAAAGAATGCATATAAGGAATGTTTTCTGTGAAATTTCTGCCTTTTTTATATGCAAATAGTACTCTAACTGCGTTTTATTTTTGGCTTTGACAATTCAATGGCAGATGTCACTTTTTATATGTAAAAGTAATTGTTATATGGAAGGAAATGCAATAAAGTTATTGAAAACAACGAATTTTTCTAAAAATTCTGAATAAAAATTTTAAAGCTTTTGGGTGTAATTGTCAAAGTTTGTGGAATTTTCATAATTTTCGAACAAAGCTTGAAATTTGGATTTATGTAGTATCCTAAGCTTTTATAAACAAATATAAATATTAAATAGACAAAATGAAATTAGTCTAAGCTGGTCAAAATGTCACTTAATTTAATAAGCTGACCACGAGGGTATATATGTACATAGATACAAATATGATATTGCCAAATGTATAAGTTGTATAAGTTTCTTAGAGAATAGAGTAACAAACTTCTGACTCCATTTCAAAATGTATTTTCTTGTTTATTTTAAATTTTTCTTCTGCCATGTTTTGTTTTTGTTTTCAACTGTTGAAATTTCTGTGGAAACCGTGGCTGGTGTATGCCAATATTTATTTATATAAGCTTCTTAGACGCCTGCTACACGTTCATAGAGAATGGAATAAGAAACTTTTGACTTCATTTAAGAAAGTCTTCTTGTTTATTTTAAATTTTTTGTTATTGTTTTCAAAGTATAATGGTGTTTTCGTTTCTCTTTTCGTATTCGATTCTACCAAAAAGGAAACCGGTGAGAAAATTATGTGTCCGTTTTTTAAAATGATACACTCCAATAAGGCAAAAAGGCACATTTGTCAGCGACAATATTATGAAACGCGTAAGCTAGAAAAGGATAAAAGCTCAGTTAGTCTGGACTTAACTTAGTTTAACTTACCTTACGAAATCTTCAATGATTACTCAACACCTCACCTTAAGCTAGAAGCGGATATACTTTGTTTTTGTATTTTCTTTTTCAGCTGTATGACAGTTTGTCGCCTAAAATGCCACACCAAAAAAAAAATTCATACAAAAAAACCTTTTTGCGTTCATTTATTTTTGAGAAATACAAAAAATAAAATCTGGCAAGACTGATTCTGTTTCCGCTTACAATTTCCGTAAGGCCTTAACTTAAGAATCTAAAATCTACAGGTCCTTAAGTTGCTTACGGTAAGTTAAGTTTTAACAAAGCGCCAACACAGTTTTCCATATAACAGGTTAGCCAAAATATTAAGTTAAGTCAAGTTACGGAAATTAAGTCTAGACTAACTGAGCTTTAAGCAAGCAAAGCAATTAACAAATTGTGTTTTTAATATGCGTTTCTTAAATTCAGTGAAAACTTAACCAAATTTCAATATTTCACGAACTATTTACTATACCGCGATCAACATTTATCCAACTTAAAGTAAAAAACAAAATGCAGCTTAAAGTATTTTTTTGTAAAAACACACAGGCACTGTAGCGAAAAGGTAGCTAAAAAAGTATTTATATTTATTCTAACACATCTGATTCCAGTAGATTTGATTCACGAAATGATTTAATAAAAAGTATTAAAAATCCGGAGACATTTCAGGATATGTTTGATTGAAATGTGTTTATCGTTACCTTAATTCACAAAAGCCCTAAGCAACAAATTTTTAATTTTACAGTAGAAGCAAAAAAAACATCATAAAAAGAGAATCAAAAACAGGCACGGCTTTTTAAAAAGTTGCATGTAACTCCGTTGTTGTTGGTACATTTTTTATTGAAGGTTTATTTTATACATTCTACAAAAATCTGTGAAAAATGGAGTTTCGAAAAAAGTGTTGGTTAGGGCCTTTGTGGATTAAGGTAACGATATTTATGTTTTATAAAATACTTGTAAAATGGCAAGGAAAAAATCAGTTGTTCCCAAAACTTTGTAATATTAATTAGATGTAATGTTTGCTTTACTTTGCATAACGTTGAGTTTATTCCATTTAAATGTCTTTTAAACGAAAGCCATACCTTATTTTAAAATTTTTACTCCATTTTTCGCTTTCATTTCTTTAAAAGCAATTATCCGGTCTTACCGGTTTTTCTGAATGAAATAGAATTAAAAATTTAGAACCGGTTGTTTTCAATTGCCTTTTTTCGAATAACTTGAAACCGGTTTTGAAAAGCTCGAATAATCGAACACCCTAGTATGTATATACATAAGAGCGTGTCAGACGTGGCAATATATGTCGATGCAATAAATTTCGGAAAGGCTGTCAAATTGAGAGCAGTCACACCTTGCATGGAAAGTGTCTTTCGAAAGAGGTTTTTATTTCCGAAAGGCGAATTGCAGGAAAAATTTCTGAAATCGCTTTTTGGCTGCTCACACAGCGAATGAGTTTCTGGCAATCTTTCTCGATATTAAAATGCAACCATGGGCGGTGGGGTTGTCGTTTGTTTGCTATTTCTCTTGAAAAAGCGAGAACGAAAACGCGAAAAATGAATACTCGACGTAAGCTGCTGTTGAAAGAGAAAGCAATTTTATTAAAAATTATTGCCATTATTATTAAAAAAATAGAAGTGGATGATTCGCGTACACGCTGGTCTGTTTGGGTAAGACAATTTTGGGAGCGCGGAGCAAACAACCCATACTATACAACGTTGATGAATGATTTGTACTCAATCAAAAAAACCCAAAAATAAGCAAAAATCAAATCCACAAAATATAGGTTATAATTAACATATTTGCCATGTGAACAATAATTTAACGATTAAGTATATTAAGCAAAATAATATATTTCAAGCATTTTTGATATTTAATTCAACAATATTTTTTATCATTTTACACAAACTCACGATCAGTGCAACACGGCAACACTCGATTAGTTTGACAGCACTTGCAGAAGAAATAAAAATTGCTAGTGCAGCACGACCAAGTTGAAATATATTTCCGAAATCGATTTTCGCTCTTGCAGTTGCAGTCACACCTTGCAACTTTTATTTTATAAACTGATTTCCGAAAAGTGACAGAAAGATCTTTCTGGCTGTTCACACATCGAAATAAAATTTCTCTTTCTCAATTTGACAGCGAATTGCGTGCGAAAGACGGAAATATTGCCACGTCTGACAGGCTCTATATGTATGTAAATTAGATATACATACATACATATTTGTCAACTTTAACCAGTGCTATAATGCACAGCTATATACGATTAGCTTAGTATTGAAAGCAAAAAGCTATAGG